TTTACATAAACAAACGAGAAAGCCACTGAAGGTTTGGTTTTTAAAAGCAGGATCACGACCTGGTGACATTTGTGATTTGGAAGGCTTGATCTGGCCACATGTTGGAAAAAGGCTGACGGAGAGCATTAGGGGACAGGGAGGCCAATTAGACTATTGCTGTTATCTAGGTAGGAAATGATGGTGACCTAGATAACACTTCTAGGGAAGTGACGATAGGGATGAAAAAGTACCAGAGGACCAGAAAGAGAACCAGAAAGAAACGGGATATTTTGATACATTAGGTGGGTGTGTTTTACCCCCTTAACTGAAAAATAAATAACACCAAGGATTCCGAAAGTCTTCTCATCATTCCTGCTGCTAGCATCAAGGGGGGCTTCCTTGTAGGCTTAGCAAAAGGTGGAAGATAAAACGGTCCCTTGTCATTTAAAGGGCATCATTTCTTTTGAAAAGCTTAGCCCTTCTCTAACCCTTAAAATTACATTATTTTGGCTCTAGCAAATGCCTGGTGTGAGTCCTTCCAGAGGGAACTGTTAATGTCACTTGGGTTCTCTGAATTATTGATGAGCTTCGGGGTTTGTGGAATTAATGAGCTTCAGCAGTGGGTAGGGATGGACATATTACTTTAAGAAAGTCAGCAAGTCACCCCAGAGGAGCCTTCCTCATACTGGCTAATGGGGGTGTGATTATCCCAGAAGCAAATTGCTAGATGAGAGCAGACCTCATTCAACCAACAGGTACTCATGGTCCCTCTGAAACCCTGAAACTGATAGGACAGTGCAGATCCTCAGGGCATAAGTGAGTCCATTTAAAGAAACTGACGGTGAATAAAGTGCCCGTGATTTCCCATGTAGGGCTTTCCCTCCTGGAGAACACCTGTTTCTCCAGGCAGTTTCAGAGCAGCTCAGGATGTGTGCTCAAGGCACTGAGGGCTAAGATGTGCTCCCTAGAGCAGGGCTTCCCACAGTGGAATGGAGCATCCCACGTTTCTGTAAATGATTACAGGGGAGAGTTCTGAGGTTAAAATGGAAAAATGTCCTCATAATCTATTCAGGTTTCTTTATTGTAGGACTTTCAGAGCCTTTACTATATTAACATTGAGTGTGACTTTCTAGGATAAAACAGTAGGATGCAATGTTTCCCAAACTTATTTGATCTCAGAAGCTTGTTTTTTTATGACCTCAGAGAACTAACAAAATTCACACTGAGACATACTTTTTGAGATAGAAGACCCACTTTAAATCCTTTCTGGAACAAAGTAGGGTAAGTAGAATATAAAATTCTTCAGATAAGGGGATATATGGCATCTCTGTAACCCCAGAACACAAGCCTGACATCCAGTCAAGCTTGTTGAAATTAAGAACAAAATCATCAAAGTTGATGTTGCTTTGACTCTCTTCCTGGGTTGGTTATACTGGAAGGAAATAACAGGCATCTCATTCAAACGCTCATTTATGGATGAAGAAATTGAGGCCGGAGAGGAAAAGTAACTGTCCCAAGGTTCCACAAGTTAGTCAGACAGTAGGTACCAGAACCGAGGCCTCCTGCTCCACTCATTGATTCATTGCAACAAATATGTATTGAGGATCTTCATGGCATGAATTAGACCCAATGTTGCTTTTGTGGAGTTTACATTCTCATGAAGGAAGTAAAGCATTAAACTAACTGCAGAATTAGTAAATTACATATGCTTGGGACAGTTGCTCTCAAGAGAAGGACAAAGTGCTAGGGGACCATGAAATGGTGGCCTTGGGCTGAGACACGTGGCCCCAAACCCATCTCGCTGCTTCCCATGTGGATCCTCATGTCACTGGGCTTGTTTGATTGAGGTCTCTTTCGCAAGGTTCGTATTTATGCGGACCGTAGTTTTTGACCCAAATGTTGACATAGTTTGACAAAAGGTTATTTTCTGGTTTGTGGATTTCTTAGTGTAGTTATCCAACATTAAAATAAATAAACTCAATAATAATATCAATAATAATAGCAGCTACCTTTTATTGAATACCTACTTATGTTACCCACTGTGCTAACTAGTTGACATCCATTATTTCATTAATCTTCTCAACAACTCTTTGAATTAGTTATTACCTCCATTTTACAGATCAGAAAATTGAGGATTAAAGAGTTAAATAATTTGCCAATAATCCCACATGTAGTAAATAAAATGGTGATGCTGGGATTTGAACTGAGGTCTGTCCAGCTCCAGAGTCCACACACTATTACAGCACATGGTTTTTTTTTTAAAAAAAAAAAAAAATAGGATTAAATATTGTGAAATTGGAACTGCTCTAGAAATTTAGGATCTGAAATATATAACAAAATGTTATTTAGTTTAGAAATAACAAATGTAAGGTGTGTAGCACAGTGGCATAGACCTTGAGTGTATAGCAACTGTCATTGTCATTGTCATTACTGTCCTGAAGCATCTAAATCAGGAATTGGCAAACTGCAGCCCATAGACCAAATTTGGCTCATCACTGTTTTTGTAAAGTTTTATTGGAACAGCCATGCTCATTCATTCATAAATTGTGTGTGACTGCTTTCAAGCTATAATGGCAGAGTTGAGTAATTACAACAGAGACATTATGGCTTACTCGCCTAAAATATTTATTATTTGAAACTTTTGCTGACTCTGATCTAGATACTTGCCTCAGTTTACCATTGCGCCTTTCTGTGAGCCCAACCTGAGGTTGTGGGTACAACATATAATATTACTAAAAATAGGAGGTAAAGGTAAATAGAAGATTCAAATATTGTGTTTGAGCTATAAGTCAGGCTGTGTTTATCATGCATAATTATCTTATTTAATTCTCCCAACTACCCCATTTTAAAAGTTGTCTGAGGCTCAAAGAATTACATAATGCCCAGGTCCTACAGCTGCTGAGTGGTAGAGCCAGCCTTTGATATGGTTCCCAAGCTTGGGCAACTGCACAAGAGATGTTCTTTGCATCTTACAAGGGGCAACACCTTAGAGCAAGAGAAAACAATATATCACCATTCTTAAAATTTGGACCTTGTTTCTTCCAAGACTGATTTCAAATACAAATGAGGCCTAATTAACAGGAAGTTCCAGCCAGCTAGACACGAATTTGTATGGGACTAATTGGAGAATGAGGGAGCCTGTAATTGTTTAGACCAGGAGGGGTGGCTGATGTTGGCTAAGGAGTTAGAATGCCTGGGTGGTCACCTGCGCATCACAGCACTGCGCCTGGGCTTTTACAGCGGCTTCCCCCACCACTTTTGGTGGCAACGCTGGTGTTTCTCACCTTTCCCAATAGGCTTCTGCTGTGCAAAGGCCACATAGCCTACGCTTGCTTCTAAACTTCTAATCGCTCCTAGGCTTGGCGTGCACACTCAGTAAATGGTTCTTCCTTTGAATGGAAAACACAGTGGCCAGGTTGATCGATTGGTTGCTGTGTTGAACATCTCATATAAATGAGCATGTTCTTTTCTTTTACATTGCAATAACAGTCAACTATCAAAAGTCCTTGAAACACTAAAGTTTTAGATTCTAATTGATTGGCCATTTAGTGAGTGCCTACCTTAGTCTCGGTCTCATAGCAGACAGCTATATTCACATTTGTCCCATTTAAGAAAAACAGGTCGATTCTCAGTTATTTCATGGCAGAGAATTCAGTTTGTAGCCAGACTTGTAGCCGTGTGCTGCTCATAATACTAAATTAAGTGTTATAGATGACAGAGTGCTTTCCCAGCATACCTTTCCCTGAGACTGAGCAGAGGCAGAGAGAAGACACGGAAGGCGTGCCAGTGAAAGGTGGTATTTTTTTTTTTTATAGCTCCTCGGAGAAAGGCATCAGCGGGATTGTGAAAATGGGGACTTGAATGAAAACCATGTAACTTGGCAGATTCTCAGACATAGATTTCTGAGCCCACGCACTTAGAGAGAGGGTCATCAAACACCTGTAAATCTATTTGAATAGTAATAAAAACTCCCCACCGTATGATATATTCAAGGCAGAACCAAGGCAGAGTCTAAAAATGGCCTGACCCTTCTTGATGAAATCATCCGCAGCCCTCTCAGACAGATGGCCCTCCTGCGTTAGGTTCCCACCATATTCTGTACATCTCCCCTAGGGCACTTAGCAATGAAATATTTTGCTTACACAAATCTGTCTCCTTTGATAAGCTACATGCTTCTCAAGAATAAGAACTAGGTCTTATTCATCTCTGTTCCTCTAGCGCTAGCCCAGAGAAGATGCTTACTAAGTGACAGACAGGCAAACAGATGTCCAGATGAACAAAGTTAGGGGAGGGCGGGCTGCCCGTTTCTGCATTTGCAATTACTGACAGCCCTGGTTAGTCTCTCTTGTGTCAGTCACCAGGGCTCCTCTGGCTGTATAGCCCTTCTTAGTGGCTGCAGATAAGATGGGAAGAAAAAGACCCAAGGACGCCTCCTCAGAGCAAAGACAGTTGTTTAGGAGAAAACAGGACAAAATAATTGAAAAGCCTGAGGTCCAATACAGCTGATCTAGTAACAAGAGCTGGAAAATGGTGCAGCCTCTAGAATGAGACCCAGAGGTTCCGAGGGGGTATAAGGAGTAAACAGAGAGATGATTTCTTTGTCCCAAACAGCTGCCGGAGACAGGAAAAACGAGTGAATAAGGAGCAAGAATCGGGCAGAAAGCTCCATTGGTCAGATCCCAACAGGCCCATGTCCACCGACTCTTGCTGTAGAATCCTGATCACTTTCGAAAGAGGAGATTTTAGATGCAGAAGGTGTGGGTTTCAGACCTATTCCTGCCACTTCCTAACTGTGCCACCTCCTGGCTGTGCAGCCTTAGCAAGTTCTCCATCTCTGAATCTGGGTTGCCTCTCAGTGAAGTGACAGTTCCTAATGCTACTGGCCTCCCTGGGTGCTGAGGGCACCGATGTGCTGATGGGATGTGAAAGCATTTTGTAAGTTGGCAGGCGGAGTGTGAATGTGTGTGACTGCAGTGGGCCATAGACAATCCGACCTCAATTCTGTGTGCTTTGCTTTGCAGAGGGTTGCCCTGGGTTGTGCAATGGCAATGGCAGATGCACCTTGGACCTGAATGGGTGGCACTGTGTCTGCCAGCTGGGCTGGAGAGGAGCTGGCTGTGACACATCCATGGAGACCGCCTGTGGTGACAGCAAAGACAATGATGGAGGTAAGGCTGTGGCACCCATGAGCTCTGGGGTGGGGGGAGGCTCAGGGTGGAGTGTGGGCATTATTACTGAGTTAACAGGCCACCAGTACACCATCTGGCTAGTCAAGGAGGCCTGCAGGGCAGGCATAAAATTGTACATGTTGTCAGGATGAGCGCATATCACTAGTTGTTCCATTTGAATTAATTAAAAGTAAGTAAGTGAAATTAATTGCCATCTGACAGCAAGTGCACAGGAGAAGGCCTATGGAGGACAGAATTTTTCAATTCAATAGTGAATGAGTTGCCCAATAAAGCTATGGAACCCCCTCACTGGAAGTGCACAAGAAGAGGCCATACAATCCTGTATCCCAGGAGGTGGCAGAAAGGATGCTTCTCCAAGGTTAAGTTACCTTTTCTCTTCTGTTCCTCACCAAGCACACTGGGGACCACCTTCTGCCCCTGTGGGTTTGTAATAGAATCTGTCTTTGCTGTTGGATTTTTTCTAACAAAACCCTAAGGAACAGAAGCCTAGTCTTGTGGAACATTTATTACCTAAGAGTGAAGCTCTAACCCCAATTCTTTGACTGCTTGTGTAATTGTAAGCAAGCTGCTTGATGTCTCAGGGCCTCATGCTTCCCATTTCTAGAATGAAGCTTTTGGATCATGTGGACCATTCCAGTCCTTACATTGGTGCTAGAATTAGCCTTCATTTCTCTGTTGTGTAAACTTGGATAAATACAACCATGATGTGGTCTACTTTCCTAGGAATATGGACTGATTCTTCCTGACTCTACCTGTCTTTGGAGTTATAAGGAGAATAAAAATATAGAAAGATGAAAAAAACTGAACAGTTAACCCTTCTTTTCTAATGATGACCTAATTGGCCTGGTCCAGATGCGTTTATGCAGCTCCCTCATATTTATGCTAAGAGGCTTTTCTAGTATACAGCAGAATAGGAAATCAACAGGCCAGAAACTTTGTATGCCACCCTTTGGGAATTTTCTACTTAGAGTGACTGTATAATCTCAGTGCACCGTAAGGATTAAAAGGCCAATTGTGTGTTATTGTGATTACTCTGGTTCATTTGCCTTGAGTTGGCTGTAGCAAGCTGGAAAGAGCTATTTCAGACTGCTGGTCTTTATCTGAGCCAGCTTTCATTCCTTCTACCTGCAGCCTGCATCCAGGAAGTGATTGGGCCTGTCCACCCAGGCCTGGGCCCATGGAGTAATTGTCAACAGTAGCTCTTGGAGCTGGGCCTTGGTTGCCAGGAGAGACAGTGGGTCCATGTTCTCTTCCTGACACCTTACAGGATTGAAATATCCTGTAATCCCTCAGAAACTTGAGTTCATTAGCTCTGTGCTCCATAAATACCCAGAGTTCCTATTGTGGGGCCGGGACCTAGGCACAAAGATGAAGAAGTCTTGTCCCTGCACTTCAGGAATTCAAATGAGGAAGAAGGACCCAAAGTGAAGTGCTAATGGGCGGTCATAAGGGAGGTTGTAGAGTCATATATTGGTCATTGTGGGGATAGGCAGGCATTCATCAGGAAGGTGATACTAGGATAGGTCAGCGTTTCTGGAAAGGAAAGGGCTTTCCATTCAGAGAGATCATGATGGCAAAGGAAGAGAAGGGCACCAAGTGTCCCTTGGTGATATCAGTGGTCTTCTGGCAAGATAAAGTGCAATAATATTTGCTCTTCATAGGAAAGAGATGTTAACCTAAATTATCTGCATAATTTGTCCAGCAGTCCCCTTCATTTCACCTGTGTAGACACAATTCCAGTGACCAACAGACACTTCATGTAATAGAAGAGAAGGGCAAAGGGGCAGCCCCCGGAAGTCACTCTCTTCTCAAGAGTCCAGGATCTTGGCCAAAGCCTTCAAACAGCTATTGAACATCTGGGTAGCAGCCAAACTGAATGTCCTCGAGAAATGTGGGGAGAGGGTGCATCTCCCCAACAGCACACGCAAAAATTGGTTATTAGACAAGGTTCTCTTATTCTCCCACGTGAAACGTAATCCCAGTATACCCGCTGTTTACTATCCTTCAAAGCCAGCCTTCCCAGCACTAGAACTCACCCCGCACAAGAGTGAGCCGTTTTTAGCTGTGGACTGTCTATATGGGGGAGCCCATAGCCCCACAACTTGGGTGGGAGAAAGAACTTCTTGTCATGGGAAACGGGGCTGATCCAGACCCCAGGGGAACAGGGCCTCCTCCAGCTGCTCTGAGAGATGAATGGCAGGAGCTACAAAAGAACAATCAGAAAATCCCCACATTTTTTATTAAGGAGAATATACCTCTTATATTTATGAAGCATGTGATGGGCCTTTACTTTGTAGAAAAGCAGATAACAGCATGGTTTCCTGAGATCATTCACGCATTCAACAAATGTTAACTGAATGTCTACTCCACAGCTGGTCCTGTCCTGGCTCCTGGGGCTTCAGGAGATAGTCCCTGCCCTTGTGAAATTCATACCCTGGAGGGAGAGAGGGTGGCACCCAGTAGCAATGCAAGGGGGTCATTGCTGAGATGAGGAGGCACCCACTCATTTAGCTGCTACCATCAAATGCCTGGATGCCGCACTGGGAACTTTCTGTGGTCCCGCTCCTCTGAGCCTTCCAGTCTGCCCGGGAGGACAAGCCATGTGTCATCACGATTGGGAAAACAACCAGCTGGGGAGACCAGATTATTGAGGGAGCTTGGCCTTGGGTTCTCAACTGTGAAATGAGGAAGCCTGTCACCTCAGAGCCCTCTCTGCCTTGTGGGCTCTCCACCCTTTGGGGGAGCCAAGGGGTCTCTGCTTTGCATGATGGCACAGATGAAACAACCAAGCAGGTGGAGACGGGGCCATCCTCACTGGCCTCTCCATCACTCTGGGTCTTGGCCAGATGGGGACGGTTTTAGTGGAGGGAGGAACAGGGCAGGCTGTGCAAGGCAGCACAAGAGTGAGCTGTGTGTAGCTGTGGACTGTTTGCAGTGCAGACAAGCACACATTCGCTGGGCTCCTGCTGTCTGCAAGTCACCGTGCTCCTTTCTGACGGGCTATAAAACCAATGAACATGGCCTAGTCTTTCTCCCTCAGGAAGCTCGCAGTCATTCGGAAGAAATGTTATCCAAACCACTATATCTAATGGAGGCGGAATGAAAACAAGTGCCTTCATTTCAGCCATGATGTGGGCCACACATCCCAAATAAATAACTCAGGGTGGAGGGAAGAAGTGTTAGGGACTCACTGAATGATTATTCTTGGCTGATCTGACTCGGGGCTCTGGAGAAGGAATTCGAAGTGTTTAATGTTGAGTGACAGACAGGACTGGAAGAGACAGAGAACACTGACTCCAGCTCCCTCCTCCTACTCCCCGGCATGTTACAGACAGGGAAGCGGGAGTCCAGAGAGGGAATGTGACATCGTACATATCCAAGTCACACAGAAATCCACTAACACGGCCAGACTGAGACCCGAGCCATTCCATGTGGCCCTGTGAACCTAGAGTATTCCCACCTCCTAATGATTGATTTACCTTCCTCCTCCTAAAAATGTAGTATTTACTTGAATTGAAATAGGCTATGACAGTATCACAAAGCCAAACAAAATGAGAATGGTGACTTGTATGTCATTTCGCAGTTTGCAAAGCAATTGTGCATCCAACAACATCACCAGGAGGCATGCGGTATTATTACCCCCTTCCCATTCCCAGGGCTTAGGGAACAGCGCATTTTGCCCAGGTCTCACACAGCCTGCACGGGGCAGACCCTGCCGCAGTGTGAGGCCTGGCCACATTAGAGCTTTTTCATGTGCTCAAACTTCAGAAACCCAACTGTGGTCCTTTGAGCTATGTGAGAGCTCCCAGTTTCTCTTCTTTCCCAATTTGCTAGGCTTAAAGCAATTCTTTCCAAATTAAACTTGAATTTCAGGCTTCATTAAGAATGCAGTTGCTGTGTTTTTAAACTCTGAGGGGGAAAAAAGTTACACAATGTGACTGAGTTGGGTTTAGCTGTATTGGTTTGTTTTTGTTTATGATTGTCGTCTAGTTTTAAAAATAAGAAACAGATCCTAAATGGGACTCAGTGGCTCCCAGCCTCCTGATTCTCGGTCAGGGCCAACCAGTCAATCTTGAATGCCCCTAGATTTTACCCCGGGGAACAGGTGGGGAGAGGGAGCAGCAGGGCTGGCAGGCACCGAGGTCCTGGCTCACCACGGTGAACCCCTCGGTTTGCCCCACTTGATGAAGAAGGTGTGCCCCATTCCTATTGCACCCCTTTATCAAGACCTTTAATCTTCTCATCTGTTACACACAGACCTTCTGATAGGGTTGCTCCTCCCATGCCCATTACAGAGACGGTGAAACTGTGCCCAAATTTGCTGTCTATAAAATAAGGGTACTAATGCCTGCCTTGCAGGGTTGCTGTGAGGATTAAGGTGATGTATTTAAAGGGCCTGAGAGGTAAGATAAAGGTGATTAAAAGTGGAGGATCCCTGGGTCCCTCACTGGCTGCATGACCTTGAGTGAGTTACTCAACTTCATCACCTGCAAATGTCGCTTCTCTTTCTCCTGCTCCTTGCCACCCATAATCACAAGAGCATGATGTTTATTACTAAATAAATATTCATATATAAACAGTCATTCTTAAACATTGAAATTATGCTATCTTTAAAATTTTATTATCTACTTTTTTCACTTATGCTCACACTGTTTTTCTCAATATAATGTATTTTAACCTCTTTTATCTCTGGATTAAAATTTATATTTCAAACTGTTATATACTCATTGCTAAAGGGGGAAAATCAAATGTACAAAAAGGAAAATAATAGCCATCCTGAAGAAGGCACCCCTCGGTGCCAAGCACTCTGCTGGACACCGTGCATATGATCACCAGTCCTCACCCCCCTCTGCCAAGGCAGACGTTTACAGGTAGGGAAACTGAGGCTCGGCGAGCTGAAGTGCTTTGCCCGTAGTCATGCAGTGAGAGAGCTAGGATGAGAACGGAGCTGGTCTTTAAAAAGAAGCCAGAATAAAAGA